CACTACATTAATTATTTAGTCAGCAAAGACACTTGGGTCTCACCAGCTATGAGCACCCCTAACACTCCTCAAAAACTGCTGATGCCATTTCCTATGTTGGCATTAATGCCTTGGAAGATTATGCTAAATTTTCTGTTATCTGATTGTTCTTGAACAAGATCACAGAATGGGTCAGGTTGGAAGGGACCAGAGTGGGTCATCCGGTCCAACCTCCCTGCTCCAGCAGCGTCATCCCAGAGCACACGGCACAGGTTTGCATCCAGATGATTCTGAAGTATCTGCAGGGAGGGAGACTGCACGCCCTCTCTGGGTGATCCGTTTCAGTGCTCGGTCACTGCGCAGGAAAGAACTTCTTCCTTATGATCAGGGGGAATTTCCTGGGCATCAGTTCCTGCCCGATGCCTGTTGTCCTATTGCTCAGCACCACAGAGCAGAGCCTGGTCCATCCTCTGACACCTCCCTTCACATTAGATACCTCCTATTAGATACCTGGTCCATCCTCTGACACCCACCCTTTAGACACTGACAAACATTCATAAGGTCGCCTCTCAGTCGCCCCTTCTCCAGGCTGAAGAGGCCCCGCTCCTAAGAGAGATGCTCCTGACCCTTGACCAACTTCGCTCTCTGCTGGACGCACATACACACGCTTAAAACGCTCCGAGCTTTACAAGGCAGCCTCTGTACCTGCAGTTATGCAGTTCTATGAACCTCTGCAAGACCTGCTCCCCCTCCCGAGCCGCCCTTTGCCCGCGGGAGCTGCCGCGGGGCACAGACCGCAGGCGCTCCCGCCGCCGGGGACGCGCCGGGCGCGGGGCTCCCGCTCCTCCGGACCGGGACCGGGGGCTGTGGGGGGACAGGTCCTGCCTGTCCCGTGTCCCTCCCAGGCAGATCCCGCCTGCCCCGGCCCCACCAGCACCTCCCTCGGTCGCTGCTCCGTCCGCCCCTTCCGCTGACGCCGCTGCCCGGCGGCCCCCGCGGGCCCGGGCGGTGCCTCCCGCGATGGGGGGAGTTCTTAATCTGAGAGTCATCGGCTGAACCCGGGTGAAAAAAAAAATTCAGCGCCAGCAGCCTTGCGCTAAAGGTTCCGCAGGAGTGGTTTCCGGGGTTTAAAACCCACGTTTCTTATCGCGTTCTTTTATTAATTGGTTTTAGCATCTCTCGCCGTGTCGCTTTTTCCGTGTGCGATTCCGTGTAAAAACATCCAAACGGCTTGAAAGCAAAGATGGAAAAACACTCTGCGGAGGCAAATAGGCGTTTCTTCCTCAGATCAGATAATGTCAGAATTCTACTATCGCCGTAAGATTAGCTGGAGCAACAGCAGTATGTGCTCACTTGTTTTGCTTAATTCTGCAGTTTTTAATTAGTCATGAACCAGGTGAAATGAACAGAAGACTGAGTTAGGTGTTGAGCAGAAGCACCATAACCAGAGTGCTTTGGAATGATTTAATAACAAATTTGTCTAACTCACAGAGTTAGTATCTACATTTTGGACCTTTGCTACAGATGATGGAAAAATTAAAGAGTCAGTGTTCGAAAAACCCCATGGAATGTAATGCATATTCTGTGTCTGTTTCTGGGTATCTGCTTCTCATGATCTGCATCCTTCAGCAAAGGCTAAGAACTATGAAAAGAATGAAGTAATCTTTCCCTGTTTTTACAGCCAAGAGTGTTGAGTGGCAATGGAATGGAAAACGCAGCAAGCCATTCAGTTCTCTCCTTGGAGTTTCTGTAGGGAATTCTGTTGGATGAACATGTGTCAAAAAATGCTTTGGAGATTCGTTCTCCTTTTATCTGGCTCCTGTGAAAGAGCAGAACATTATTTTACTTCCCATGGTGATACACTGCCACATAAATTATTACTGCAGTCTCTCTCTGCTGGCATGTTCCCACTGCTGTAAAGTGCTAACAATCTGCAGGAGAAGCAGTTTTTATTTGTTGGAAAATCCTGCCAGTTTGCAGCAGGAGACACTTACTGGCACACAGACTAAGTATTGCTAGAGGAGCTAAAGGGTGAGTGTTTCACTGCACTACACGGGAGCTTTTGAACACAAAAGTACATTATGTGAGAAATGGAGCTGCCATAATTTCTTTTCTACATAATGCTGCTACGTAGTTTCACAATATGCATAATTATTAGGCAAAGCAGGAACATCTTGTGGCTGCAGAAGGTCATAAAGGAGCCAGTCCGGCTGCAGGCATTGTAATGTGGGTGATAATGATAGTTGTTTAGGGAGATGCAGTTTCTGTACTACACACAAGGGGGCTTTGGCAGCAAATTCCCGACATCTACCTCTTTTTTTTTTAAGGATGCACCTCAGCTACATTTCCTGTCTTCCCCACAGCCATGTGAGCTGACAATTTGCTTAAAGAAAGCAACTCAAGAGTATCCCTTAGTCACATCATACCAGGTATTAGAGGAGTTAAATTACTCCTTTCCTCATGGTTTTCCCGCAGTCCTTTCATGGCCCAAAGGGTATTGTTAGACAGTTCTTTACAGAATGTCTTCTTGAATGCCAGCACTGCTGCAGGAGGCTCAGAAAAGAAAACTATACAGACAATCCTGAAAAATATGTATCACAGGGAAAAATCTAATTCCTTAAGATTAGATAAGAGAACAGAGCTGATTCTAAGCAGACAGGAATAACAGATGAATTAATACACCACCACATCCTTGCTCTTGTACTGTGCAGTAGGGCATCCCTGAAAGCTCATGCTATCTTTCCAGCATGTAGTGTACTGTCTCTTTGCTTGTCTTTTTTTCTAGTAGACATTATATGTCTAAAAAAACCCCAAAACAAACAAACAAAACCAAAACCAAAAAGCAAACAAACAAGCAACCCCCCCCTCCCCAAAAACCCAAACAAACAAACAAAAAAGTAAACCAAAAAAGAAACTGAAGGCTCTCAGGAAGAAAAAAATATATCATAATTTTAATCCTACTGTACTGGGGCTGTTGAAAGGAGATATGCTGAAATAGTTTTCACTTCATCTTGTTAACTGGTGTACTGGTATGCAAAGTATGTGAGACAAGTCGCTTAAACCATCAAGCAGCACAGAAAAATGTCAGGCAACACAGTGAATAAAATGACTGTTGGTCTACGTGATAAATCAGTGAAGAATCTTCCTAAATAACTGCTTGAGGTTGAAAAGTGCATGAGGGGGATAACTGAAAAGTTATTAAAAAGGACAACTGCAGCTGTCAGCTTTTTTGTTTCCACATTTCCTGAATATCCATTTCTCCTTCCCAGGGGAAGTTAAGAATCATACTGCCTTGCCAACAAGAAAACTGAATTAAAAAGCAGTAACATTAACTTCGCAGAGCTGAAATCCACACTGATTTCTTTTTCGTTAACTATTTTGTGGTTGTTTATCAGCTACTTTCATTGCCTTTGACTATAACATTTATCTCCAGGGGCTTATTCAGAACAATAATTTGCATGTCTTTGACATCACCCAGTTATGAGTTCCCATGTCCAACACAAGCTGATTTGTACACAAATTTTTCTAAGAGAGACATGTTTGTAACATATCAGGTGAATGTCTACCCAAGTGACTGTGGTTGCCAACACCAAAAATGAGTTTGCCTATGAGGATGTTGTGAGAGACAACGTCAAAAGCCTTGCTAAAGTTAAGATAGACAATACCCACTGCAAATATAGTTGGAAAAAAGAGACAAGCTTGGGATCCTCGTTAGGACTCGTGCCCCAAGGCCTCTTCATTTTGTCTTACTGCACTACTTAGTCTAACTAAACATTTTCACTTTGCTTGATTAACTTTGTATCTCCCAAACATCACAATTACAAGGAGGCAACATCTGCTGAGTTTGTAGAACTACACAGGCACTTTCATGTGTTACAAATGCAACTTGGAGATGTGAGAAAGAGATGGCAAAAGCTCAGAATAATGCTATACCTGCTTAACAGTGTATTCCTGAATGCAAAGACTGTTATATTCCCAGCAGTATACACCTTTCAGTACTTTTGCAGAGCAAGATGTGGTCTGTAGTGCTGATGATTACCGTGTTTAAATAAACACTCTTTCTCAAGAAATATTTTGCTTTTAACTGATCCTACTGCTGAAGCCCTACTGGTTCCTGATAGCTTGTTGCCATGGATGGGTAATGATGTCACACATTCTGCCCAGTGTCCATGCCAGAAAACAAATGAGAATTACTTTTTTAATTTTTGGGACCTACTTAGCAATTGTCTGGAAGGTCTGAAGTGAATTACAAGGAAGAAAACCTGATGTCCCATTGACCCTACCTGTATTGTATCTTTATGCCAGTAAAGTGGCACAGTAAAACTCCAGAGCAAAGGGTCTGCAGATTTAAAATCAAGGTTCTGTTACTTCAATTTACCTTGTTATCCAACATTTCAGTGGGATAGGTGAAGTGTGGCTTAGGGGCTCACACATGAACACACCTGTGCCCTTGGAAACTACATAACTATAGTTTCTGGAAGAGGGTGTACTACTTGTGTCCTTCCCTCCATCAGTGACTTTCTGACAGGAACACGATCCCAAGCAGAGTACAGACATCCCCGCATCAGGTAGCAATTTCCAAGCTGCTGCCTTCTCTCACACTGCCTTTCAAATTAGGTTAGATCTGTCCTTTTGAGCTCGGCATCTGGAAGGGAAAGAGCAAGAGGAAATCTCTTGTAAATACATGGGAAAGGCTGCAGGAACACCAGCGCTGTCACTGCTCCCTCCTCCCCTCCAGGAGCGCGGCGTTTGGAATAAGGGAGCGATCAGGATCCCCATCCCCGTGTGTTCTCGCAGGTATCCCTTCCTGGGGAGGCAGAGCCCACCTGCTCAGCGCCGCCACTGATGCGCAGGCGGGTCGGGACAGGTACGCGGGGTCGGGGGCAGGGGGGGACCCCTCTGTGCCGGGCGGGGTCCCCGCTCCGCCCGCGGGGCGCGCAGGGAGCGGGGCGGGGCTCGGGGCGCGCAACCTGCGCGGCCGTCGGGTCCGGCCGAGGCGGGGCGGCGGCGGCGACATCAGCATGAGGATGAACTGGGGCGCCCTCACCCTCTTCGTGGCCCTGGTGGGACTTTCCAGCTTCGTCTTCCTCGTGGTGGCCATCGCGACGGACTTCTGGTACATCATCGATGCCTCCAAGCTGGACGCGTCCCGGAACGGCTCGGACGCGCTCAGCTCGCACTCGGGGCTGTGGCGGACCTGCCGCGGTGAGTGGGGCGGGCGGAGCGGCCATCCAGCTGTGGATCCAGCTGCGGAGATCCAGCTGTGGATCCAGCTGCTGCGATCCCGCTGTGAGGGTCCAGCTGCGGGGATCCCGCTGTGAGGTTCCAGGTGCGGGGTCCGGCTGTCCGGAGGGCCCCGGCATCCGTGGGCAGTGCCTTGTCGATACCCTCCCGTGTTACCTGCCGAGGGAGACATGGGGAGAGCGAATTTTCTACTACTGTAACCTGAATATGCATTAACTTTTAATCCGAGCTAATTTAATAAACGTTAACCATTTAGGAGGAAGGAGATGTCTTTTCATTTGGCTCGGGGAATTAAGGGGTGAAAGTTCTCGGTTAAAGCCATTAAAATAATAAATAATAATGTAAAGAACATAAACATAAAGAACTTAAATATAAACACTATAGTTTATGTACACGAACAATACAATTATTGTTATTATTATTATTATGTATTATTAAATTAACATAGCAATATAAACATTGTTAGTTTGAAATGCGCAACATTTATTAAAATTTTTAACATTAAAATTTAAATTAGGTTATCTATAAATAAGCAAACTTAATCACATACTAGCTAAAGGTGACTAAAGACTCACCAAATTCACCAGGTAGTTGTACTGTGTTTGGTCTTGCTTAGTGTTTCATAGTTCTAGATTTTAATGAAAGATCTATAAATGCTATATGGATAGTATAGAATTTTCCCCATTGAGTTAATTTGTTACTTTTGGTTTTGATTCCACCATTAAAAGCAAGGAGTAAGTAATGTTCACCACAGTCAAGAAAGGATGTTGCTCCCAGTGGAGTGGGGAGAAGCAGCAGGTTTCAGGAATTCTCCCTGAGCTGTATCCCAAGCCCACTGCAACGAGCGGATGTTTCCCTGCTGACTCCAGTGGTCAGGCCCCTGGGAGCAGCCAATGCTGGGTACTGAAAATCCCCTCCTTTCCTTCCCTACCTAGGAATAACTGTTTTAAAAGCAGGTAATATTATATGAATTATACTGACAGGCAAAAAAAAATATAGCAAAAAGATGTTATAGTGTAATTTTTCCCTCTTTGTTTTTTTGCTTCTCTATTAGTGAGGAGTGAGTGTTACCCTTTGATAAACCCCTTCTGGCACGAGAATGCAAACATCACCGAGTCACACAGACAGCTTTTGTGTGAGTAGCATTTATATTGTTTTTATATTTATTATATCCACCCTTCCCTCTCTCCTTGGCCACTTACAAGGACTCATTTCTGATTCAGAGGGGGAACTCTCTGAGATAGTGTTTTGTCTCTGCTTCTGTACAACATCTGTCACTGCCTGTGGTCTTTGAGTAGGTTTACTTTTGAAATAACCATCTATTTCATGTCAGGTTCAGCTAATTTCTTCCACAGGAGCAAGACCTTTCTGACTGGAAGGGCACAGGAAGGTACACGATTGTTAAAAAATAAAAGGCAAAAATGGTCAAAATCGCCTCAGAGGAGTCTGATCACTGAAAATGCTTAAGCACACATTTAAACAAATCTTTTAGGCAGTTACTTTTCTACCCTTTCAATGGGATTTCTTGCACTGATAAAAGGCTTAAGTTAGTGAGAATTTAAGAAAATAAATCACTGACTAAAAGCAGTGTTCGAAGTCCTTAAAGAACACTGTGTTCAAAACCACTAAGCTCCTAACTCTATTTACTTCCTTTTTTTTTTCCTGATACATTAGTCAACGTCAGGATGTTCTCAGAAAGTCCAAACTGAACATTTTCAAATACTTATAGGCACCTCCCAAAAGATGATTTAGCTTCTTTGCATCATATTCTGCACAATCCTCTGCTCACACATGCTTGTATATAGGCTTGATTTTTACAACCTTTTAATTTACTTACCTCTCCTCTCTGACTCTGGCTCTTTCCACCTTGCATGCAGAATATGTGCATTAGTCCTGTGTCTTAAAATGGGACTCTTTCCCTCAAAACCAGCCATTTCCTGAACAATCCTCCAGAGAGGCTTAGAGTGTCTTCAATCTCTTGGAGCAGCATCCCATGATGAGCTAAGAGTGCAGCACATGTGGAAGGTGCTGGGAGGTGCCTAGGAGGTGCTGATGGTGGTGGGGCTGTGTCCCAGCTGTAACTGGGAAGCTGAAGTAGGAATAAGATCCCAGTGGGCTACTGAAAGAGCCATATAACATATCAACAGGTTCAAGACTAACAGCCCAGGTTGCCTCTCTGAGCTTTCAAAGAGAAAAGTGCCACTTCTTAAATTTTCCTTGCTCAAGACAGAGGGCCTTGCCTGCTTGATATTGCTGAAAACTCTGAGGAGCAGTGAAAATGATTGTCTGCTTGATCACTTAAACCTTTGAGGGGTCACTGTTAATTGAACCCAACCAGACTGATCACGTTTTAGGTGTGGGCAGCTCAACTGTTACGTTGGGGATGGTCCAAAATTTCAGGATAAGGTTGTTAGCATTTCAAAAGTTGTGTGCATATTTGCAAAAGGCAGATCTGTTATTTCCCCCAGGTGAGGAGATTTTAGGTTGCATCTCTTCAGTGAAATAACAAAGCAAAATCAGAGATTATACAGAGCTCTTTTGGTTATAAAAATGATGTTGGCTTGGAAACAAAGGTAGTCATGAAGTGTAAGAAAATAGTGGATATGAGTAAAAATTGGATTAATAACTATGTTTACAGGCTCTCCAGAGCTTAACAGAATTTTTTTTCCTCTCACTTTCATATCAAGTACTATTTTTAGGTTCCTGGACAAAGACTTCAGGTCTGCAAAGACACTTGCAGATTTTACGATAAACAGGCATAGTCTGCCTAAAAATGATGAGATAAGAAATCAAAGATACTTTTATTGAAATAACCTGCTAGGCTTGATTAGAATGACCTACAGAGTGAACTTCTTGATTTTTTTGGATGTTCAGCTTCAGTGCAGTTTCAGTGAGGTGAGGCTACAGGTCTGCAGCAACAGCAGCTGAACACAGGAACTGCCATGCCAGTCCTTCTTCCTTCAAGGAAATACAGATATTTCTGAGTGACATCTAAGTTCATTAAGTACTGAGATAGTACCTTCTGCTCTTTCTTAAATATTTTCTGACTGTGGTCACTGAATCATATTTAGGCAAACCATTTTCATCTACGACACATTTTAACTAGAATTTTAGAGGAAAATTCTGAGGGCGTGGATTGCAGTGTAGTTACAGTAGTTTCTTCATCTGTTGCTGTATGGGGTAAACAAGCTAATTGCACAGCTTTAAATTGGTTACTTCAAAAAAATCATATTTTTCTCGTGTGTGCCTATGCAGGTGTCTGTGAGGAACATTCACATGGGATTAATCTCATTCCATCCAGCTGTACACACATATTTCTCACTGATTATTCCTTAATGGACTGTCTCCTGATGTAGGTACTTAAGTAACACATCAGTCACATCCCTCATTCTTCAGAGTTTGAATGCACTTCTTGGCGTGTCTTAACTAGACACAAGTGCCAAAAAGATGGGAGAAAGCCTGCATGTGAGTGCAAAGAGCTGGGTCGAAGTGGAAACAAAAGTCCTGGTCGCTGCCAGAAGACAAACCCTTCATTAGAGAACGAAAAGCCTCCACATTTCCTTCCTCCACACTTCTAATCTCTCTCCTATTCATCCACAGCATATTCCTTTTAGGTTTATCGTGTACTTCAAATAGAGCTCCCGGTAAATTAAAATGATTTGGTGTACAAGTTAAGATCCTGTGCCAGCATCAATATTACTCAGGGAATCAATACAGGTGCTGTTAAGCCTGGCAGTATGACGTGCTTTCACATCACAGGAGTACTCTTGGCTGATTCCTCTCATGGATTAGACACAAACATGCCTCCTCCTCTGCATTAGCCTTCCACTTCTTTTCTTACCACTCCCTCCAGCTGAACATACACTGTATACCATCTCTCTCCCTCAAGCCCACAATGTATAAAATATTTTCCTACTACAGATTACATTATGACATGGCTATATATTTGGTTAAAACATCATCCACTGACTAAACAAAAATACCACTATAGACTTCCTGCCACTAGTTTTCCCAAAATTTCTGCATTTTAAAAATGCTTTTTTACTGGAGATGTACACTTTCCTCTGTCCTATACAGGATTAAAACTGTCACTTTTCACAATTTAGACAGTTATTAGGGTCTCTTGGTGACCAGTAGAATTAAAGATAGTCCTCTGAAAATCACCCTTAGAACTGAGATCTGTCATCAGACCCCCCACAGATATTTTGCCTTGCTGTGTGTTCTCCTGTGCAAGCTATGGAAGACAAGCAGGAAGAGCAACTTTTTTTCATGGTGAGCTGAATCCATCTCTCACTAAATGATAAAATAAGGGTGTCACTCTCACTTCAAAGGAAGCTGCATCAGGAGCTCTGAGCAGCTTTGCCATTTTCCAGTAGAAGAAACATAGCATCCCCAATCACATCGAAGTGTTGAGGATCACAAACAGAGAGAGGGAAGCTGGTGTGTAGCAGAAATGGCAGTATTTAATCACCTGAAAGATTTTCCCCAAGAGTTTCAGCTTTGTAAAAGAAGTTCTTGAAAGAAAAAACAAACCAAACCAAACAGAGCCAAAACTACAAAAAAAAATACCACTACCAAAAAAACCCAAACAGAAAAAAACCCCAGCAAGTTACATTGGGCAAAGGTTGCTCTTAGGTATTTTTGTAATATAAATATTTTCCATTTACCACAGTCTGTATTGTTAATAATTAGTGAATACCAGTATAGATTTAGGTAAAGGCAGCACCAGTGTAATCCCTGCAAAATGAACAGTGTTGTAAATATTTTTAATCAAAACCAGACAATTTCTCTTGAGTCTTAGCTTTGCACCTGAGCTGGTGTGGGGTCCCACCTGCACTGCAGGGCTGGGGCTGGTGTAATGAAAAATAATGTGAGAGGAACTGCTGTTCTTTCTTACTGTCTGCATGACACACAAACCATCTGCATTAGGTACCTACAGGTACCTACAAGCCTCTCACAATCCTGAGTTTTTTGTTATTGACATGAACATCATGGACACTGATTGATTTCCTTTTACAGGTCCATTTTTAGTGCTCTCCTGTATTCTTGAGCCATCTAGAGATGAGCAGTTAATGGATGTGGTTTCCACTTACATGTGGCTGGAAGAAAAATCTTTTTTCCTGATGTAAAATCAAGATTGGAGTGTACAGCTGCCCAGTGCAACTGCTTAAAGTATTCTCACAAGAGTATTTTTGTTTTTTCTGTTTTAAACTTCAGTGTGACTGGAACATGAGGCTGGAGACAAGTTAGTTCTTCCTGCAGGGAAACAATCTTTGCAGCAGAGGCTGTTACTGATACCTCAGTTGTTTTAATGTAACAGCTGCCTTGGTTTCTTCCTCAACAAAATTAGTTTAATAGTACAGATAAACTTGTCTGGATTTCCTTACAGCATGTGGACCCTGTAACAGTCACTAACCAGCTGTTTTCACACTTTGCCCTGCTCTTCGTGGTCCTGCTTCATTTTTACTGAGCTTATTTTATTTTTACAGTTTGTAATGTTATAAAGAATCCCCTATTATTTGGCTGCCATGACATTTTTCCTTGGGGATTTACAGTTCTTCACAATTTTTCTTGTGGTTTGAAGTTATCAGAAGGAAAACAGGGCTGGAATATCTAGCAAGAGCTGGTTCAGAGGCCAAGTGAAATAAGACTCAAATGATGTACACAGAAATTCTAATTTAATTGATCTGGTAGGTGTGTACATAAAGGGATCTGCTTTGTTTCTGAGCAACAGTGTACTGTTCCTTCAGAGAGGTCCCAGGGAACATCTGCTGGGTGCTTAGAGTAGATATTACAGTAAATACATACAGAAATCTGAGATAACTCCAGCATCACTGCAGCTGAGACCAAATGAGTGACAACCTGTGATGAATGTTCTCGTTTTCAAAGTCACTGGTACCGTGGCAATAGCATGTGAGCCCCAGTGCACTGCTCACATCCATCATTCTACCCATTCCTGCTTGTCACTGTCCCCTCTTCCCTGTCCAGCATCATTTTATTTCTACTGTCTGCAATTCGTCTTCCAGTTGAGCTCAGAGACTTTCTGAGAAGAGCACCAAGCCAAAACATGTAACACACAGACCAGAGCTTGGCTAATTGTCCTGGAGTTCCCTAACCCTGTGAGCAATCCTCCACCAGCATCTTTTCTCTGGTGAACTGGAGGGAAACCAGGCCTTTGTGTCCCTGGGGTCCGAGCCCAGAAGTCTCACATTTAGCCACTGGCAGCAGTTCTTTTCAGTTGCTCGTTGTTTTTCCAAGTTGTTTCCTTCCTTTCTTCCCTACAAGCAGGTAGGTCTTTCTCCATACACTGATTCTTCCTGGCTTTGCCAAGTCTTTCCAGAGCAGCCCCACTGGTTTTAGCAGCTGCCAAGAGTTGGGTTTCAGCTCGAGGCTTTTGTCTTTCTAACTGGCTATTTAGTAACTGCTGGGTAAGATAAACAGGGCCTTAATTAAGCTCTTCTGAGCCGCTGCCATTTGGAGTATTTCTGATGAGGTGACTATTACAGTTTTCTAGAGACTATTTGCTATTATAAGCTGTGCAAACAAATCCGAAGTTGGTTTGAAGCAATTAAGCTCCAGCACGTTAACAGGAGATGATTAACAAAACTGCTCGGCTTGCAGTTGGTTACTTCTGACACCGCTCAATTTTTCTAGTTCGTTCCACAGATTTCTCTTTACAAACAACTCAACAACAACTGTGTTGGGTGGTAATTCAGAAGTGCCTGCCAAATCCTGAGATCTGGACACACACTGCAGATGTCATTCTTACAGATATTTGGTCCCATCTCTACTAAAACAGCTTTGGCTAGCTAATGTAAAACTTCATTAGCTCAGATCAGGCAATTTAGTTCTTTTCTCTTCTGCAAAAACCGGGAGTGTTTTTTAAATGTTTATGAGTTTGTTTCAGTATTTCCAAGACTAAACTCTTGGACCTTTTGTGTTGCACTGACAGGGAACTCTGGCATTGAGCAATAGATGTGGGAAACTGAATTCTGTTTTACAAGAAAGTGCACATACCTCTTCTTGTGCAAAATGTTTAGGCTGGTGGGTTTCTTTCAATAGTAGATTAATTTCATCAATATGAAGAGTTATATGTACAATATATAATGCATCAATGTGTATTTCAACAGAAATTGAAAAAAATACTAAAATGACTGCAAAATTAATGTTTTAACTTCTTTCACAGATGATTATTGAGGACAGAAACACAGTAAAGATATTTTAAGTCATGTTCTTCTATAAACTAATTCTGTTCCTCTAATCAAGGAATATAATGGCATAATATCATATGCCAGATGGCATGAATTCAGATTCCTGAGTGGTTTCCATGGCAGCATTTTAGAATAAGTTTCCCAGGCAGTTGCAGATTTCACAGGACAAATGAGTATTAGATATTGAACTTGAACACTGGAGATGATAAAGTGCTGTTTAACCAAATACAATCCATTAAATATTTGATTTTAAAAAAGCTGCAGGTGATTAATGGGAAATGTAGCTGTGTATAGGAAAAGTGAGGCTCTGTCACAGTGGGATTTGTGGGTTTCAGCTGAGATATCACTAAATCCTGTATTTTCACTCAAGAGGGCATAAAAATCAGAGTTATTCTGATGCTGCATGCAAGTGCCACAGATCATTAATGTGATCTGTGACACTCCCCAGGATGTTCTGGTATGGATTTGCTTTCCCTTTCCTTCACAAGGTTCCATTCAGAGCCTGATCTACCTCACCCACTGTCCTGGCTCAGGTTGCAGTAGCTGAAATCACACCATGATAAGGAAAGTCAAAGAAATAGCAACTGTAGGTGCTACTGTCCTGAGGTGTAGCTTGTTAGCAGTCAGTGAGGGACACCTGGAAAATCACAAGGCATAGAGCCAGTGATGAGCTTATTTCTGTTTTTTCCCTTCCAGCAAAGCCAGGTCTGGGGACAAGAGTTGTACCATTCTTACATTCACACTTTTAAGATGTTAATTGTATCAGATTTTATCTGCTCCAGGCCTTTTCACCTTTTACATGCAAGACCATGGGGGCACAGGAATGTTAGAGTGGTGGGGAACCAAAATCAGGCCCAGTAACCCTCAGCAAGCACAAATGTGGCTGAAGACCAGCCTGTTTCTGCTGCTTCTCTGGAATCTGAGAGCTGAATTGGGTTCCAAATCTCTGTTCTGTCACATCATGTTGCATAACATCCCCAACAACCACTTCTACCTGTATAAAACTGCTGAACTGAGTTCCATGGCTATTTCTTGTCTTGGTATTCAGCTAAGAATTGCAGACAGTTTTGACATACTGGTTTCTACCCAGTAAGCTGAAGATTGATTTGGCTGTTGGCATCTGAGAATTGCTACAGGTTTGTGTTTCTTAGGCAGCAACAGCAGCTGTGGCTACTTTTGCTGAAGGAAAACACAAGGAGTGTCCTCAGCTTTAGAATCAGAGAGAAAGTGCTCTCTTCAATGCAGAATGCTGAATTCATCATTTCTGAGCATCAGCTCGTCCTGATGTGGGCATATGTGGGATTGAATATGAAAATATAATACCAGCATAAATAAACAGAAACAGAAGAACAGCAGGGTCACCTCCCAAAACTTTGTCATTTGCCACATTTTTCCTCGTGATCATGTTCTGTGCTACACAAAACAAATAATTATATCTTGAAACCACATTCTCCACAAGAAAAGACATTAACAGTGTCTGCCTTGATCCCATGCAGACCCTTCCTAACCTTCCAAGCTTCTAGAACTGAACAGAGATACACAATTGTGTCTTATCTTTATAATGCTGTTGAAGGGGATAAGCTGGATCCTTAGCCAGTGACAGAGGGAGTGCTTCCAATTCAGTGGGCAGTTACAGTCACTTAAAAAAAATTGATCATTTGATCACACAAAACCTGTGATCTCTTAACTGATTCCTTTTCCTTGGGAACCAGCTAATGGTGTATTGTGATTCCCCTGTGAAATTAAATGAGTCACTGAAGCCTAGACCTCTTCAGAATATGGATTTTAAGGGATTTTTTTGTCTCAGCACTTTGGTATTAAATAAATTGATACTGGAATTACTTTTTCTTGGTTATTATTCTAGAAAAGGTTGGGTTGAAGGTTGTGGATAGATTACATGAGAAGGAACAATGACACAGAGATGCTTCATGATGAAAAAAAACAGTGTGATATGAAAAAATACATAGCAACCCTCTGTTTACACAGCTATTAAAATGTTATAGGGATCAAGAAAGACTAATGTAAAACATTTAGCATGGGAGGAAGCGAGCAGGATAGGTTAATGTACTTAGTGAAGCTGCTGTAGAAAACAATGACAGACAGAATCAGAGCTGGATGGGAAAATTTACCTCTAGTTGATGGTCAGCTGCAACAAAGGAAAAGGTCACCAATTTGCTAGATCTGTTCAGCAGAGGACATGTGACAGAAGAGAAAGAATTTAATCAAAAGCATGGCTGGATCTCACCACCCAGACAACAGTGCCACTCACTGTGATCTGTGTGATAACCAGGGCTACTTCTGATTTAGGTTGTCAGTGCCTACCTGGTATGCAGTGCATGACTTGTTATCCAGCTTGGCTTAATAGCTCAGTCACTTTAACTGCTTAAATATATCTATGCAGACATATCCTTTATATTTGTGGTCTCTGTTTGAAACACAGGCTGTGATCCTGTGAGAGCTTGCTCTGTATGTGACCTTTTCCTCCATATCATATATTTGTCCTGCCAACTTAAACTGAAAACCCAAGAGGTTTTCCAATTTCTTGTTGATTCAGCACAGAATAAGGCTTTGATTCTGCTCAGGGGCTCTGCACTTAATAATTATTAGTACATCCATTGACACCATAATCAAATATTGAAATATTAATGTTCTTTATTTTTCTTCAGACATGCATGGAACATTTGTCATCCTGATGCCCCTCAGCCTGATTCTGATGATTTTTGGAGGAATGACTGGGTTCATCAGTATCCTTGCCAGGGCCTACCTACTGCTTCTGATGACAGGACTGCTTTTTCTTTTTGGAGGTACAATATCAAACTCCCAACCTAACCAATTTAAATAACAAGGGATTATATCTCAGAAACATCACTTTGTTTTTCCAGAGAATAAGAGCTAAGCAGGAGTTTCATTTCAGAATAATGCTGGTCTTCATCCTGATGGGATTCTGGAACAGAGCAATTTAGAGTCAGGAAAGGCAAATAATCACACACAGCCAAACATCCTTGTGCAGTGAGTCACACTTTGAACACAGAGTGTTTGCTGTGCCCATTAACACAAAAGATTTAATACCTTCTAAGCACAGGGCACAAATTCTTGACAGACAGGGTAATGGGGTAATTGACTTTGGAACTAGTAAAGCATAGGGTTTGATAACCTTACACAGATCTTACACCCATTAAGAAAACTGACAATTTTTTAAAGGCTTTTGCATTGGGTTCCTGAAAAGAGTCTTGCCGGGCAAGTCTGCTCCAGGGATGTCTTTGACTCAGTTATTTGGAAGTGATGAGCAGTCATGACTTCACAACACTTGGTGGGAGGTGGCAGCAAAGACCAACACATTTACATTAAACACTCAAAATTTACAATACTCAAAATTAGAAAGCAGCCTAAATTCAGGTCAGTGACCTGACATGCAAGAATCTGTGTCTCTGTGGGCTTTCTGGCATAGAGGTGGACATCTGCACATGGTGCTCAGCAGTGAGGAATCAGGATGCACTATAATACAGTACTGAAAGCAGAGATGTGTGTGCATTAGATATCTGTGAAATATATGACTGGATTTCTATTGTGGCAGGCTTGATGTTAGACATTTTGATTCAGTATTTAACAGTGGGAACACATTATATTCAATGGACAGAAAACCAGCCTCAAATAGATATCAAAGATAAACTGGGAATCTGGCCTGGGTGGGGTAGGAAGGAGTGAGAAAGAAGCCTTAAGCCATATCCAATTGATTGGTTTTGATTTAACCAGCTGAGTATGTCTCTCTCTCTCAGCTCTGGTCACACTTACTGGGATCAGTGTCTATATTGCATATTCAGCTGCTGCCTTTGAAGAAGCTGTCTGCCTCCTGAGGAGCAAGGACCTCCTGGTGGAAATCGATATCAGGTTTGGCTGGTCCCTGGCCCTGGTCTGGATCTCCTTTGTGGCAGAAGTGCTCACTGGGGCCGTGTTCCTCCTGGCAGCAAGAGTTGTGGGTCTGAAACGGCGGCGTGAGCAGACATTATGAACAACAGGTATCCTTGCAACAACAGAACCCTGGAGAGCCCGACAGTCTGGATTGCTCGGTCCAGCTGGTCACTGGGGGTATATAAAAGTGGAAGGCTGAGTGCCTTGTCCACTGCTGTAAACCTTTTCCCTCACAGTTGGCTATAAAAGACAAAGATTCTGATAAATCAGTAAAACATTGCAAGTGCTGTCAATAAGGACACCCTTGTGACTTTAGAAGAAAGTACATTGCAGTGTTAGTGTTTTCAGACTAATTTCAGCTGGCAGCTCATAAGACATCTCCATTCACTGCTTGGAACAAGGCTGATTTCTTGCTTTCTTTTATCTTTTTTGCTGTCTAAGCAAAGTGTCTCAGAGTACCTTGCAGGTCAGCTTTTGGTTTCTCCTCTGAGACTCCTAAGAAGGACATGGACCTGCTGCAGTGAGTCCAGAGGAGGCCACAAAGATGCTCCAAGGGCTGGAGCCCCTCTGGTATGGAGATGGACTGAGAGAGCTGGGGGTGTTCAGCCTGGAGCAGAGAAGGCTCTGGGGAGACCTCAGAGCCCCTTCCAGTACCTAAAGTGGGACACAAGAGGAAAGGGACTTTGGAGAAGAGCCTGGTGGTTGGAACTAGATGATGTTTGAACTCCTTTCCAACCCAAACCGTTTCATAATTCTGTAATCCAGCAGATGGTAGTGACTGTGATGGTAAAGTCCTGGACTGTAGTGCAGTGGTGAGTGTACTGCAAGAGAAAGATATAGCTGCTTTCCCAGATGTTTTAACTAACTACTGTAGCCAGCCCCAATCTACTTCAGATGCTCAGGCTACATACTTATCTCTTTCAGCCTGTCACTGGCTGCTTTTTCAATTCTGTAATGCCGAGGAGGTATCTGATGCATTTCCCAGTTTTTATTTTGCATTTTTGATGATGCTTCCTTTTCATGAAGTTTGTGCACGTGCTTTGTGCTAGAATATGTTTGTCTTGTGCTGGAAGCTGCTGAATAAAGTGAACACACAGGATACATGAATTTCAGCCTAGGTGCCAAAGCAATCTAGTTTTTCCTCTGGGTAGTAGCACTTAAAAGAATTGAAGTTACTCAAGAAATTTCCCCCTGACTGAGGTGGCTTTGAATAAAGACCTGAATGTGTTAACAGCTTCCCTCCCTTTCTGTGAGATCATGTATTTCTGGAGGGCCTCAGCACACTGCAGTTCAGGACTGTGACTCAGGAGCTGTGTCAGGCACACTCTGTCGTTGGGCAAGTCCCTTGTACATCCTCCAGTAGTGCAAAGGGCATTCACCTACCTCTGTTATATATCAGGACAATTTTACCAGTGTGTCCCACGTTAAAGATTGCACATTTACTCTTACTGAGCTCAGCTTTTAGTCCCACAGTACCAATTCCTTCCTGAAAAATAGTGGCAGGGAGCTTCTGGGAGCTTCCAGTCTTTGAAGACAGAAGGGAACATTATTATTACCATGCTGTGAATGGAGAGCTGAGCCAGAAGATCTGTCCAAGGTCACGTGAAACCAGACTTTCTGAATCCCAGCCTAAGACCCGAGTTGGCAGTTGCTTGTTATCAGACTGAAGTAAGACTAGAAATCCTGAACGGACTAAGTAATAGAAATTCTGTGGTTAGCCAGTCCAATTTTGTAATTCTCACTTGCTCTGATGTTGTTTTTCAGGTATTTTCCATGTTGCCTTATGTTAGGACCATGTAATTGAGTGATTTTACAAGTTAAAGCATACCAAATCAGCTCTAGAAAAAGAGTAAGAAAAACAAATCCTTTGTAGTAAAAATTCCATGTGCTTAAGTGAATTATGTAAAATGTGATTCTGTGTTTTGTTGCTGGTGAAGCTATTTATAATACAATTTGTATGATGTTACTCAGACATTACTGTAAGTGTAACAGTAAAATATAATCTGAGGTTTTTTTGAATATTTATTACAGATGTTATTTTAAAGTGGTTTTGAATGTTGTAAAATTAAATAAAATGACGTCTCAGAGCTGGGAGTTATTTATCAAGACATGGAAGAACTAGGTTTTATATTTTTCCCTAACTTTTTCTGCAGATCTACTGTTTTTATGATGCTTTTGAAGTGCCTGTGTCACATGTGGTAGGTATTTAAAAGGTACTTGCACAGCTACAATATAAAATACTCAAGTGATCAAATCTAATTAGAAAGCCAATGAATCTGTTATTGAATTAGAGCAATTGTCATTTCCATGGCTCTCCTAAATTTCTCATTCTGGCTTCCTGCAATATCTGGCACAATGGTAATAAAGAGTATCTTCTGCTCCTGAATGTTTGCATAACCCCAGAATTTCTCTGAAATTCCTTCTGAATACAAAGAACAAAAGACTGTTTGGAACAGACAAATTAGCACTGAACATGTTGAAAAATTATGCTAGTAAGAGAAAACATCCTAGAGAGGATTTTAATGTATTTTGAGACAAATGACCTTATAAGCTTCTTCCTCTTACTGAAACTAATGTTTATTTAATACCCAGTTCTTTGCTGTGTTTTCCCCAAAATACATTACTGAGATGAGGACACTGAGTGTTCCCATTACTTTGTGGTGAATTGCAAACTCATTGGTAATTGGTCACATTTCAAGTGAAGAAAAACAGATGTACTGAGCAGAGCAGTACTGTTTGAGGGGTAAAGGCACAGAGCTACTGGCCAGTACCCATCAGTAATTTAAAGGCTTCCTCAGGAGGTGACAGACAAGGATAGGAGAGGTCAGAGGAATCCATGAGCACGAAAAAGGTGCAGATATACAAAACATTTAGAGGACATGCTGATGAATATTATGTGGACATGAAGCCACAAGGATTCAGTCTGAAACTGTGCTGTTCCCCACCTTGGCTCCTGCAGAGCAGCTTGGATGTCTCTGTATACTCACCTCTGGTGACCAAGGGGACATCACTGGCAATTAAAGAAGCTCCATGAATTTGTTGACCACTGATCCAAAGCCAGTAGACCTGTGTGGTGGCTTGACCCTGGCTGGATGTCAGGTGTCCATCCAAGTAATTCTGTCACCTCCCTCCCTCAACACAGGGGGAGAGAAAATCTACCAAAAGGCACAAGATAAGGGCAGGGAGAGGTCACTCACCAATTGCTGTCACAGGCAAAACAGACTCAACTTGGGGAAATGAGTTTAATTTATAACCAGTTAGAGTAGGAGGCTCAGAAATAAAACCGAGTCTTGAAAACACATTACCCTCACCCCTCCCTTCTTTCCAGGCTTAACTTTACTCCTGAATTCTCTGCCTCCTGCCCTCTAAATGTCACGGGGGGACAGGGAAAGGAGGTTATTTCTGAAACATCTTCCTCCTCGTGGAGTGGACTCCTCACACCCTTCCCCTGCTCCAGCGTGGGGTCCCTCCCACAGGAGCCAGTCCTCCATGAACTTCTGCAATATGAGTTCTTCCCATGGGCTGCAGGTTCTACCCCAGAATTTTAGCTATCCCTGGTTACGGCTACAGGTATTTAACTACTGGATTGCATTCTAGTTAAGTTACAAAAATTAGATTATTTTGCTTTTACTGAAACGTTATAGTGCTGTTTTACTGCAACAGCCCTCTCTTCTGTTTTGCACATCAGCTTTAACCCTAACTAGATCCTCAAACTTTTCCCTCCCTTTTTGCCAGGGCTTTCGGCAGCTGTCACTGTCTCATCCGATCTTTGGATGCGTATTCACAGGAGCAGTACCTGCTGCTGGGTCACGTCTCACTTCGGCGTTTGTGCTGGTGGCGATCACAGTGTGAGCGCTCTCACTGGGAAGATCTGTTCGGCTTTGTGACGGTTTGCACAGAAACCGTGGTCTGTACTGACACCTCATGGCTGCACTGAGCACTTGGCTGTATTTGGGGAGAAACCATTTCTTTGCTCCCAGCACGTACAGGACAACCAGGTGATCACGCCCAGCCACCCTGGCTTTAGGAAAGGCCGTTGAACTCGATTATCTTAAAGGTCTTTTCCAGCTTAAACCATTCTATACTATTTTTGTATGGTTTGAAGAGCAGAGGAGACTGTCATGCTCACTGTGCTCCAGCTCCTCTATTTTATAGCCCAGAGACTCTCATTTAGAAACTGCTGATTCCCAGTCTGTAACACCTCCCAGCTGCTGGGCATCTGAAGTTAAAATGTCAGGTGTTGGAAAACGTGCTGTTAATCATGCCTGTGTTTGTTTTTAAAAAAGTAATCACAAAACATTCTTAAAGGTTTTTATGCTTCTGTTCATAGGATATAGATGGTATAGCCATTCCATTGATGGTTATGTTTGCAGTAGATTGACCAGTATTGGTTTTGATTCCATTTGTGGGATAAATGTTGAAACTGCTAAGCAGAAACTAACCAAACTGAATATCTGAGGATGCAAACGATAAGAAAAAACAAATAGCTTTATATCATGGCTTATATGACAGACTGTCTAAGAACTGAACAGTTGAACAGGACAGACTTCAGTATTGGTCCAGAAAATGTTAGAGGGGTTCTGGAGGAAACAGCATGCTACATTTTTCTGTGGATATTAATTTTTTTTACCCTCTTTCGGTAACTTTTTTTTTTCCCAACAAAGTCAGGAAGTTCTGCTCTCAGTATGAGCTGAGCAACACCACAGCACTGCTGAATTTTGAAACTATGCAACAGCTGTCAAAGTAGGAGAGACCAAATCTAACCTCTCGCATTGATAAGATTCAGTCTTCTTTCCTAGGAGCTGTGGCAGCATTATCCACTCCAGATCTATGAATATATCTCTGTGTAGACTCCTTAGACACAGCTGTAATTCTTCCAAGCCAAATTACTGGGGTAGAGCACCTCCTGTAAAAATTTTTAGCTGTGGGGCAGGATCAAGTTGTTGGACTTATGTGTTGGATGAACACTATTTGGAGATAGTTCCTTCATCCCTGAACTACAGTCCCCAAACAGATGAGCAGCAGTTTGTTAACAATCTGCAGGTATTAGAGTGAAAGGATGTGATGCCATGCCCTACCATACCCCATGGTAGCTAAAGT